ATGTGTCATATACTTGTACTAAACTGCGCATGTGTCATATACTTGTACTAAACTGCGCATGTGTCATATACTTGTACTAAACTGCGCATGTGTCACATGCTAGTACTAAACTGCGCATGTGTTATATACTTGTACTAAACTGCGTATGTCATATACTTGTACTAAACTGCGCATGTGTCATATACTTGCACTAAACTGCTTATGTCATATACTTGTACTAGACTGCGCATGTCATATACTTCTTATTTTTATATAGGTTTATATATATACATATTTTTCAATATTTTAGCAACTTTCATTGTACACAAACAACTGTGTACAAACACACAAAAGAAACAAACCACTTTTTATTCATTTTTATTTCAATTTATTTTTATACAAAATTCAAGATGACGGCTGATTGTAAAAAGAAACAAAGGCTCCAGAGATGCTTATCGCTTCTTTATAACAGACTCTCTGCGACCTCTTGTCTTCTTACCTTTTATCGATCTACTGAGACAGATTAATGTTCTTTCAGCTGTTACCAAACAATAACCAGTAACACTTGATTACTGTGCACACGTCACAGCATAAGTCTATCAAACAATGACGTCATTTTATTTGAATCCCAGCTGCACCCGTGTGAAGTCAGGAGTCTTTGATATGACGTCATTCTTCTTTGAAATTCATTTTGGTTTTACAAATAATTTCCGAATCATCTTAATCATCTTAGGAGGACCCTCGTGTAAACCACTCGAGTGTGATCCTCGTATCCTCAATGAAAATTATTTATTTTTAATGTGACGTCATATTTTTGAATGACGTCACTGAGCCCTTATTCCATTTCGATCTCATGTATGCACTCCCCAAGCAGGCAGAGATTCACAATGTAATGACGACATTAATCTTAGAAGAAGATGAATTCTAATGACGTCATTGGCCTTTAAAGGGACTCTGAGGTGCCAGACACATTATAGCTTAAAATGTACATCAAACCTTGTTGATTTTGAAAATCGAAATGAAAATTCCATGAAATGCGTTTTTTGGGGTGATATCGTCCGTCAAAGTTGCGAAATAACTTAAGCTGGGCTCCCTGTGGAATATCCCGGATTTGATGGCTTGGGATAAATGAGGTGTGATGACGTCAGATAGTGGAACATGTTGGRTAGCTGGAGCTGAATCAACCAAATTTCGCTATGGAAGTATGACTGTTCTTTATCAATTTGAGCCGGAAATTGCTTGAGGAGAAGAATATAATACACCCGATGAAAGTGTGAGCGCGGACAGTGAGCTAGAAGAAGTGGCGAACGAGGAAAGGCTTCTAGGAATCGATGAAAGTCAACAATGTGTCGTGATGAAAACAGCTAGCTGATATGTGTTTATGTTGTTAAATGAGCTTATTAGGTAAAGGATTATGAGGTAAATGAAACATTTTATTTCACGCAAGATTTCAATCTTTTCTGATGTTAAACTCAACGTAATGTTTAGACGTTACATGCATCACGA